ATTATGTATTATTATTAATTATTATTAATTATTATTATTGTTATTATTATTGTTATTATTATTATTATTATTATTATTATTATTATTTATTATTATTATTGTTATTGTTATTGTTATTGTTATTGTTATTATTATTATTATTGTTATTAGTATTATTATTATTACTATTATTATTATCATCATTCATGTTGATATTATTATTATTATTAGTATTAATTATTTAGCAATGTATTATTGTTTCCGTTTTTGATTACTATTGTTGTTACTGTATTATTATTGTTTTATCATTTATCAGTGTCATTATTATTGGTATTTAGCGATTTTGTTTGATATTGTTTGATATTTTGGAAATTTGTTATTGTGTATATTTTTTGTTTGTAATTATTTACCTTCTTTTTTTTATTGTTATTTTACTTTTTTTTTTATTCGAGGGCATGTGCGTCCTTAAATGCTTCGGAAATCTAAAATTTTACGTTTTGTTGATTTTAATATTTCATCCATAACTTAAACATTTGATTAGGTCACGTTAAGATGGAAATTTAAACAAACACATTTGATTATTATATTTTTAGGCAGTTGGTCGGATAATACCTTTAAACCTTAATAATTATATTATTTTAAAAAATAACTTTTAATATTTCTTTTATTTTAAGCCTTATATCGTGCATGTTTGTTTTATTATTTATTCTAAAATGAATGTTGTTTAAGATCTGTATCTGGATTTCTTGTTTGTTAAATTTAATCGTTTTTATAGTGGATAGTATCAAAGTGATTGCTAAAATAGATGTGAAATATAATGATATATAATCTGTTACATCCTTTTCATTAATAGTTATCTGGTAGTGTTATATAGGAGCGAAAGAGAAGAAGAAAAAAGATAAAAATATTTCCGAATATTAGAAAGTGTTCGGATGCACTCGTCCGAACCGCGTGAAATTGGGCTTTTATGGATGATTTCTGTTTTTCTGATTTGGCTTCATTTAAACCCATGTATTTTTGTTGTTTCAGTGGTATTTTTTGGTCCGTTCGCGTAAGATGTTAAGTTATTTAGTACTTTTCAAGAGGATGTTTCCTCTCTCTTATATATTTCAGGGCTTATTCGGCTGTTTGTTTGGAATGTATTTTCTTAATCAATTTCGTCAGTCAGTCATTCTGACTAACTGACTGTCAGTCTCTCTCTCTCTCTCTCTCTCTCTCTCTCTCTCTCTCTCTCTCTCTCTCTCTCTCTCCTCTGTCTCTCTCTCTCTCTCTCTCTCTCTCTCTCTTCTCTCCTCTCCTCTCTCCCTCTCTCCTCTCTCCCTCTCTCGCCGTCTCTCCGCTCCCTCCCTCTCTTCCCTCCCTCCCTCCTCCCTCCCTCCTCCACTCCCTCCATCCTCCTTCCCTCCTTCCCTTCCATTCCGTACGTGCATACACACACACGCCACACCACAGCACACGCAACACGCACACCCACAGCCACACGCCACATGCACACCCACACCACCAACACACACACACGCAACCACGACCCCCACGCCCCACCCCCACACGCACCACCCACCCCACCCAACCCACAACACCACACCCACACCCACACCCACCACCCACCCACCCAAGCATGACTTATTACATACACACTACATACACCGCAGCTATATGGGCGGCGTAACCTTTGGGCGGAAATGCCCGAAAGATACGTATTCTTGCTTTCACTTTCACACCGCCCCCCCCCGTCCTTGTCACTGTGGGCGGCTGTTGCTGTGAAAGGGTTACTTTTTACTTGGGTAAATGTTGGTATTGTGGGTCATCGGGTATTTCACGTGGGTAGTGTTGGTATTGTGAGTCATTGGTATTTTCACGTGATAAATTGGTAATTGTGGTTTATCGGGTATTTTTACTTGGGGTAAGGTTGGTATTGTGGAGTCATCGGGTATTTTTACTTGGAGAGTGTGGTATTGTGGATATCATTTTTCGTGGGTAATGTTGGTATTGTGGTTTATTGGTATTTTTATGTCGATAATGTTGGTATTGTGGCTTATCGGGTATTTTTACGTGGGTAAATGTTGGTATTGTGGGTCATCTGGTATTTTTACGTGGATAAATGTTGGTATTGTGGGTCATTAGGTAATTTTACTTGGATAAATGTTATTGTGGGTCATCGGTTTACAGTGTTCGTCGAATAATTGTATGATGTATTTATTTGGTTTGAGTGTATGGTGTATTTTTTATTATATGATAGGTTTCAGAGACGTTGAAGTGTAATTAATTTTTCATTGTATATTGTATTCAGAAACATACTTGATTTGGTCTATGTATTTTCTAGTAAGATATTTAAATATTTTTTTTATCCGCTTAATGTATTTATCTATATAAATTACGTTTATTCGTTTCGTCTTGGTTTTGTCTTGACCTGACCTTTCACCTGTGACGGCCAGGTCATGCGGGATATCCGGTTTTAATATTTTTTCCTTGTGTGTGTCTGTTTCTCTTCTCGTGCGCTTCAGGTCGTATGTTGTCACCATTCCTTTCTCTTTCATCTTTGTTTTCCTTTCTTTTTTTTATATCACTTTTCCTCTTCTTCCTCTCTTCTCTCTCTTCTCTCCTCTCTCTCTCTCTCTCTCTCTCTCTCTCTCTCTCTCTCTCTTCTCTCTTCTCTCTCTCTCTCTTCTCTCTCTTCCTCTCTCTTCTCTTCCCTCTTCTCTCTCTCTTCTCTCTCTCCCTCTCTTCCCTCTCTCTCTCTCTCTTTCCGTCTCTCTCTCCTCTCTTCCCTCTCTTCTCTCTCTCTCTCTCTCCTCTCTCTCCTCTCTCTCTCCTCTCTCCTCTCTTCTCTCTTCTCTCTCTCTCTCATCTCCTTTCTCTCTTCTTCTCTCTTCTCTCGTCTCTCTCTTTCTCTTTCTCTTCTCTTTCTCTCTTTTCTCTCTCCTCTCTCTCTCTTCTCTCTCCTCCCTCTCCTCTCCTCCTCTTCTCTCTCTCTCTCTCTCTCTCTCTCTCTCTTCTCCTCTCTCTCTCTCTCTCTCATTAGTATGAATTCAAGGGAAAAAATAGAGGCACATAGATCGGTTTTATTACTTTCGTTTAATTCATTTTCAGATATTTTATAATTTTCATTTATGTTATCATATTCATTTATTTATCATTGTTTTAATGAATTTATTATTACAATTCATTTCATTATATTAACTAGTTTATTATCGGTTTTATCATTATATTTATTGATTTCAGATGTGAGTGGAGGTTATAATCGCAATTTATACCATTGTATTTATTTATTCCAGATATCAGTGGAGGTTGCAATTCATCTCATTATTCTAATTAATTTATTATCGCAATTTATATCATTATATTCATTTCAGATGTGAGTGGAGGTGCCGGAATAAGAACCGCGTCAGCCTTTTCTTCATGTCGTCTCCTCGCGGGTCCTGACCGACGAGCCCACGATGAGGCGCTACGTGTGGAGGTTCCTCGTGCCTCCTCTCCTCCTCTTCTCCCTCTTCGCGCTGTTTCACGTGAAGCCCCTCCGACCCCCACCACGGGCCCCGGGGAGAAGGGGACGATGCCTGGACAACGCGCTCAGGGCCGTTCCCGACGCGGGTGAGTTGGGGGAGGAGGAGGACGAGGAAAGGACCGTATTGAAATGGAGGAGGAAGCGAGCGATAGGGACACCCTGGAGGAGGAGCTGAACCAGGGTGCTCTCACGGGTCTGGACGAGGGGGGAGCCGAGCGGGGGAGCCGAGCGGGGGACCGAACGGGGGGCCGAACGACGTC